TCCTGCATTATAAGACATCTCAAAATCTCAAGTTTACAGCTACCTTTTACCTTAATTCCAGGGCTAAAATCATCCAAATGATTTATAGTGAAAGTGCATGGAGTTTAAAAACACAGTGGAGCACTTCCTGGATTACCACATGACATCACAGAGTGGAACAGAGTGTTTTCTGATCGAGAGAAGAGTTCACCTTAAATATGCAGGATTTGTGTGTTAAACATATGAATGAAGCAAAACATAACTCTGTTTATTTATGATGAGGAAATATTTATAACATAAATCAGAAAATAGAGTAAAATATTGCCATTTAAGCGAGCAAGGATAGAGTTCTTAAATGAAACACTGTTTTTTAGGGCATTGTTTCTCTAAAAAATATACTTTTTTGGGGTTTTTTTGGGTCGCCTTGTCACGATCTGCATGTCGGTCTGCAATATACAGTTCTGACACATGAGATTTTCTGTGCTCACAAAAATGAAGACAAAGCACAGAAACAGACTGAATGCTGCGCCTGATCTGCGTGTTGCGTTCTCCTCCTTCACCCAGGACTGGAACAAGCTACAAAAATACAGACAGGCCCACTTATCTCATTAGAAATGCTGAAATGTTAAGACATGTTTTTTGTAATAGAAATAACAAAATTGGAGCGTTACACTGGATCAAAAAACTTACACACACAGGTGCTCATCAAACCGGAGGGCTAGATTCTCGTAAAATAGAAAGATGATGGCAGAAGCACTCTGATTTGACGTGAATTTATTAAATTAATTAAATATTAAGACTACTTGGTCTTCATCAGTGCTACTATGTTTTGTGTAATTTCTAATCTTTTTGTAATTATTTTATTGACTATTTTGTTCCAATATTGCTGGTTCAATTAAATGCTGAAAAGAAAAAGAAATGGGCTACATTTAATGTCTAAATAGGTGACTTATGGATCTCTTTTGTTGCTGGTTCAGTTACTGTTTTTCATTGTTTAAAACCTGAGTGATACTAAATGTTCAGAGAGACACGATCACTCAGTCAACATTAAATATCCTCATTAATGTTCAATAATGGTCACCTTTATTTTATGATTTATGAATAATGTCTATTGGTGTGAAGGTTTGTGACTTTTAAAATATGGGTCCCCAGAAAAAAAACACTGGGAAACACTGTTTAAGGGGGAGGAGCTTTTCATTTAATATGCACAAGAGGGTTACATTTGCTTATCAGTAATATCACTCTCTCATATCTATAACCTGTAATAAAAAGGTTGAATAAACACAGGAAAATATAACATAACACCTTGACTAAGAACTGTTGAACAGACAGAATTAGCACAAATCTTCCTCTGTTTGATTAAACATTCTTATTAATAGCAATTAAAAATTAATTTCAGGAATGAGACTTTTTTAGTTTAGTGGAAATTAACACTCAGAAATTCCAATTTAAGTCTGAACTTTGCTCCAAACCCACTTATACTGACAGAGAATGTTGACCTATGAAATCTCTGTTGAATCTCAATATGATTAAAATGAGATTAATTGCACAGCTCACTCCAGAAGCAGGTCCAAACCACCAGTGAGATGTCCCTGTTTGCTCCGATAAGTCAGACTTACAGGTCGATAGCCAACTCACTGTAGACTTAAGAATTCAGGATTTGCTCATTCCTCAAAGCTTATATGGGGCTTCTCTGGTCCAGGCTCAGCTGTTGCGTAAAATTCCACGCTGACAGAACAGGAAAGGTCAAGTTTAAAGAAGTGAAATATTAATAAGATAAAAAGTAAGACCAATGGGCGACAGAAGCACAGCTCGAACTACTGTCAGTGTTTGTCCACAGATCTGAAGTTTGGCGAACCCCGCTCTCGACATAAACATCATTGGTTGAACGGTCACTGCACTGTTGTTGTTGTGATTACAGCTCCCACAGACGAATACTGTCATTGTGTCTTTGGGCACGACACTTAACTCACCTCACCTCAGTGTCTGTGTAGACTGGTGAATGATTGTACTGTATGTGTGAATGTTTGTGAGAGGTTCCTTGATGTAAAGCATTTTGAGTGCCTTGAAGGTAGAAAGACGCTTTATAAAAACATGACCAATTTAAGATAATCCAGTTCATGGAGTTAGGATTTCGAGGTCTAAATGATGGAGCACGACGGGGTTCAGATGTCAGTTCACAATGGGGCAGTAGCAGCGGGACAGGGGCGAGGGGAGCGAGGGGGGTGAGAGGTTGTGCACACGCAGGAGCAGCAGAAAGGCCCTCAGAGCTGAATGAGGTCCATGGAGAGCACGGGAGCAGGTGGGAAACTCACAGGGGAAGTCAGAGTGGAAAAGTCTGGCCCTTTCATGGTGAAGGGAAAAAGCATTCCTGGGCCACTGGGGTTATCAGGTTGCACAACAAACACTGAGGATAGCAGCTAGTATATTACAAAGATATTTGAGGAATAATTGTACTCTAAAAATGAATGTACTGCCACAGAACATAAGAAAAGGCATTCAGTTTCCTATAGAAGACTGGCTGCACCCATCTAAAAACAAGATGAAAATTGTAAATTGGTCAAACAAATTATATTTTAACCCTTATTTACTTATTTATTTATTTAATTTAAACCGTTATAATATATTCAATGCAAGTTTTCTTCACATACATAGTATTTTTAAATGTCTTTTTTTGAGCAGATGAAATATTTGAAGCCTGGTGGACACAAAAAAAAAAGACAGATTTCAAAATTTTCATTTACATTTACATTAATTTTCAAAAATGTCAAGAATATTTTAAATAAACAGCTCTAGTATTCAGAGTTCCTTAACTCCATATATTGTGTTAAATGTACTCAAGTTAAATGCAACCTATTCAAGGAATTAAAAGTAACACTAACACAGTTGCAGAAAGAAAGTCCAATGACAAACCACAACTTATACAAACACAAAAGCTGATTTAATCTAGCCTACTTTTTCATATAGACCTTCAAATGTGTAATATACTTTCAATCAACCAGTCAATCAATCAAACTTTATTTGTATACTATGTCATCGTATAGTTATATTAAAATGACAGGATACTGTACGGTCTTTACGTGGTTTCTAAGGCTAGTCACAAGTGTATGTCTATTCAATTTTTCCCAGAATGAAATGAGTGGATTGCTTTCGCTGAACTGATTGCTTGGACCTTTGTCATGAGAATAATACAATACTGTGGCAGCACAAACGAAAAGATCAGATAATTTTAGGCACAACACTTCAAGTAATAAGTCCACATTGATACTGTCATCCTTTCATGTCACATAAGCACTCTTCAGCTCAAATCCAATCATTTCTCAAGACTCTTTTGATTGCTCTAACACAATGATCATAATACAACATTTCTGATTTCTCTCATTCTCGACCTTATCTATTTGTCCGAGACACAGGAAATTAATGTAACTCACATCTGGCATTCTTTAACCTATTAAAGATGCTTTATAGATAGGGTTGGGAGTTTATACATATGTTATTGCTCTGCCTGGAATGTTCTACAATATGACATTAAACAGCTCTACATTTATTCAATTACAGGTGGTTTTATAGCTCAGAAATGTCTAGAAAAAACAGGCGTTCTGACTCCATAAAGCTAGAGAGGTTAACATCTCCACAGAGACAAGCATTTGACAGACCCTCTGCCAGAAAATTTACACAATGTTCTTTTAAGGTTTAGATCTTGAACCCAAATATCAGTTTGTCTGATTGAAAACCAATCCTCCCAAGCTTATCTGGCCAGCGTGTCTGCACTTTCAGTTCCTCTCTAAAGGGATAGGTTTCCATATTACCAGCCGTTAATTATTCATCGGTGCTTGCTTGGCGCCTCAGTTGGAAAATAAAGCAAATCTATTGAAGCAGTGATACAGAATAGCGCTTTGACCTTTCCGCTGAACCCAGAACTATTGTCCATTCGACTCCCACAGTGGGGAAGAGTGAAATCGTACCTCAAGTGAAGATTATTTCTGAGATGTGTGAAAGAAAATGCATATAGGCACAGCGCCGCGGCCCATAAAGTGGCAGGACACTAGTGCGCGCAGTGCTTGACGAGGTAGGTACAGTTCCCATTGTAATGTGCAAAATGATATCTCTCCAGTGTTACCAGCTCTATTACAGGGGGAAGAGATTGTCTTACGCTCGTGGATTTGCTTCACAGGACACAACAAATGAGCTAGTGCTGCCTGGTGTTCACTGGCGGTCGGTCTACACGGAGATCCAATCCATAAAACACTATTGATACAAAGGGTTATAGCAATGTGGGTTTTAGAGGTGTAAAAAGTTAGATTTGAGTTAGATACAGGTGAAACGTTTTTCGCTCAGTGTATCTTTACAAATGTGACTGTATTTAAGGATTATGACAGAATTATTATTGCAGTTTGCCTTTAAATATTAAATGTAATTGGTCATTTCCCTGCTTCATCTACTACACCATAATAATAATTCATTTGCGATTGTGAAAGAAGTACTGAAGTAAAAGTAGATACTGGAGCAAAAAATAAAGCAAAAGTATCACATGAAAAAATTGACTTGTACCTGTTTAAAATGTACTTTAAGTAAAACGATTTCACACCGATTTTGAGATCTAATGAAGCTGCAAACGTAGTGATTTAGTTAAACATTTTTGCAGAAACACTCGAATTTATCTTTTTTTCTAGCCGTTTTTATCTGTATCCCGTTTTATTGTTTCCCTAAATTATAAATAGTGACTTTCAGGAGATCTCACACAATAAAGAAAAATGCTTTCACTTTTCAGTCCATTTCAAGTGTAGTGGACTAGAAAGAAAGAAATTAAACCGCTGACATTCTGGTTGGTGGGCAAACACCACAGAATCTAACGCTCTCACTCTGTCACAATGTTAGGTAATGATTGATATTATGCTCTGCGATACATAGAAAACCTTTTTTATCACAGCTTCAAATAAAGGAATGTACCTTTTTTCTATCCTTATTTATTCATCTTTGTCCAAATAATAATAAGCACATTAAAACAACAAGTCCACTACTTTATATTTATAATACATTAAGTTTATTTTAATGCATCCAGTTAACAAATCTGAAGACCATATACAGTGGATATGTCTTAGACCAGATCAACAGGCGCTCATTTGGGGATATTTTGTTCAGTTAAGCCCTTTATGTTTAGTGTCCGAGCGAAACAGACACTTAAAAGTTCAGGAAGCACTCTGGATCTGCGCAGTCAGCCACATCTGCCATGGAAGAGGTGGGAAAGCTCTAGGAGAGAAGAAGATTGGAGTGTAAGAATGTAAGTAAACAATCATTACAAGTGTGTTAATATAGTTAAAGTGCCCCTATTAAACTATATTTTGATCTATGTTATATGTTATTCCTTATTATAAACATATCTGGAGTTGTGCTTTGTTTCTTTCATACATGTTTAACACACAAACCTGCATATTTAGGCTGAGTTCTTCTCTCAAACAGAAGACACTCCTTGTGACCTTGTGATGTTATATGGTCATACAGGAAGTACCCTACTGTATTTTTAAAATCCATTATCCTTCACTAGAATCAATTGGACCATTTTAGCCCTAGAATTGTCTATCTCTACTGAACACAAAGTAAAAGGTAGCTGTTAACATCAAAACTACCACTACATGACATCACAAGGTGGAACCAAGCATCTTGAGCTATAGAGATGTAGACAATATAATAATAATAATAAATGATTTCTTAAATATGTGTGAATGAAACAAAACACAACTTCGGGTATGTTTTTGATGAGATAACAATGTTCAAATAGGGTTTGAAGGTCACAAGAATCAATTTTGTGTAATATAGGATCTTTAACCACAACGAAATAATGAGAATTACACATTTTGTTGGATTTTTACCCATATATCGGCCAATGATTATATATAGAAATAGTTAAATTGAGTGATTAGAGACTGAAAAACATGCTTTGCTTAATTATTTGGGCCCATTGAAAATGCAACAAAAATTTTATTGGAACATTTAAATGGTAATAAAAGTTGATTGTCCCTCACATTTCAACGTTGCGTCCAAGGTTAGTAAGTCCGCATTTCAATCAATAGGAAATGGCTATAACCTCTTTGTAAACTATGCAAAACTATCCTAAAGCTTAGTTGAAATAGCCACAGTTTAAGCAGGTGTGGTTCGGTTTGACTAACCTGTCATTTAACAATTCTGGTTTTAGTCTCGTGCCCTGGGCGGCTGGTAGTACTGCTGCGTGGGTCTGCTCCGTCTGGGCTGCCCGTCTCCCCCCCGACGGAACTCCAGTGAGTTGTCGTAGTAACCGTCTTCTTCATCCTGATAATTCAACGAGACAAGAGCGTTTAATGTGGAGGGACAATACTGTATTAAGCCAATAATAGTTTGAAAATGTTTGACTTTTTACACACAGGAATGTCACACATAAATAGCTTGCACATCAGGAAGTTGAACAATGCAGATTCATCTCTAATATAATACTGAAAACAAACTGCTGACCTATTGGGATTTATTAATCTTATTTACAAAGAATAAAACCTGATAATAAAATATCTATCTAATATTACAAACTATTCACAAGTATCAACTTCCTGTTAAAAAAGTGACATTTTGCAGATATTTAACAATTCAGTGACAACGGTGCAAATTATTACTTAAACAAATAGATAAAGTGACTATGAGTAAACTTGTTGAGTTGTGTAAGAAGTGAGAACTGAATTGTAACTTGCCCCTTTCTTACCAGACCATCAGCAGAAACAGGCTTGATGTTGTCCAGTAGGACTTCTTCACAGTTTCCATAATCACTGAACACCACCACTGCGGTGGAGCCAGACGGGTGCACTGCGTCTATCCTGGCGTGGTAAAACTTCACACAGAGACAGAAAATGGAGAGTTATTTTTAGATGTGAGCGATACGTTGTTGCCAAGATATTATTTGCATAATTGTTTTGACATATCGTCTATAATAGGAAAACTGCAAAAATCTGCCAAAAAGAAACCTAATGAAAAATAAAATGAATGCCTGAAATGTTCCAAACAAGGGTATAAAGTGATGTTTCCTTTGTGGTTGAATTCTACAGTCCCGTCACTTCATTCTGGTACTTCAATATAAACCATAACATTTTACAATCACATTTAAGCAGAATTTTAAACATATCATTCAATTGTTATCAACATAATGTAAAAAAATATATATATAAAAAAAATATTCACTTTACATTTTCTTCCTGTGTTCACGTAACTACTCAGTTGATTTTTTTGTTTTGTTTGTATCTTGCCCATTTTACTCCACATTTAATCCATACTAATTATTTTAAAACAATAAATGCGAATAAAACTGTCAGAAAGAAGATTCGCACAAGGCATTAATTATTTAAAATTATTAAAAATAAGAATACCTTGTTGTCTTCCCAGTACAGGGCTAGACACTGATCCCCAGGTCTCCAAATGTGTTGTGCATTATGACTCCTCTCCTGCCCTCGGTGACCTTTGCCCTGCCCCGCCTGCCGCCTATTCGACCCCCTGTTATTGTTACTGTTGTTCTTCCTGGGTGGAGCCTCTTTAATGGGGGGCGCACTTGAGTTTTGTGGCGGCTTAATTGGCCCAGTCCGTTTGTGTTCAACGTCCCCATTTTGGAAACACAATTGCTCCCCCGCACTGAATCCCGGGTTACCTCCACCTCCCCTTGCGTTAAAGTTCGCAGGTCCGTTATCCCGTTGTAGCTTGTCAAAATTTTCAGAATTTGGCCGTTCACCTTTGCCTTTCCTCCTGTTGTTGGGATTTGTTTCGTCAAATCGGTTATCAGAGCGTTTAGGCCCCCCCTTTCCCTCTGAGTCATTGCTAATCGCAGCGTTATTAGTCATTCTGGGTGCGTTATCTTTTGGCCCTTTTCGGTGAGTTGCGTTTACACCGTCTCCATTTCGGGACTGGTGTTGTTGGAAAGAAGCTGTAAAGTCCGTCTGCTGCTGGGGTCCCTTTGATCGGGAGAATGTTTGGGAGAACGTAGAGGTGGTCTGGTCTTCATGTGACCTCTCGTGACCTTTCCATTGCGGAGGTTGCACAGTGGTCGGGGGTGTGGGGTTGGAGACGGGATCTTGGCCCGGTTTGGGAAAGTCCGTGTCTTTATGGAAACGAGGGGGTCTGTCGTTCCGCTGCTGCCGGTGGTCGTTGTGGGAGAACCTGCTCTGAGATGGACCTTTGAAGTAGGGCTCAGAGTTGGAAAAGTTTGGTTTGCCGTCAAATTGTCGCTGTGGTGCATGGCTCTTTGGCTCTGTAAAAAATAAAAAAGTCCAAGTTATTGATTTATTCTTCATAATTAGCTCATACTGTGGTCAGTGGCTCCAGAGTTTCCAGTAAAGATGTAAATAAACATAATTTGGATTCTATAAATATTACATTTATTACATCATTGTTTATACTTGATATGACTTTTGTACTTCTCTTTTCGCATTATAGCCAGATACTTCATACAGTTCAGTTTCGACTCCATTCAACTGTACAACAACTCACCCTTATGTAACCCTTTGTCCTGTCCATCCTGTTTTTCCCTACGACCTCTAGTATACAGTAGCTGAGATATTTTTATTACTATTTTCTATTCTATTTTGACTTGAACATACACATTTATATAATTATGCCTTATTGACACTAACAATTCCTACTTATTTAGAATTTATTATTACCATTCATATTTTTTACTCTTTCTTATTATAATATATTGTGATGTGTGAGCTGCTGTTGTCCAAGTAATTTCCCTTGTGGATCAATAAAGTTTGTCGAAGTCTAAGCCTAAGTTTGTTAAATGTTAGACTTATTTAGACTTTATTGATCTACAGGGGAAATTATTTGTACAAAGTAGCTCACACATCACGATGTAATACAATAAAAGAGCAAGAATATAAATGACAGTAATAAATTCAAAATAAGTTGGTTGGTAGTATATTGTTTTTAATAGTTTTGATTCAAGATTTTTGACAATGTAGCCATAAGAATTACTGTAAATTAAATGGTATTCTGAGCTAGATGGACTATGAACATGGCAATGTCTCCATCAAATAATCATGAATAATAAAAAAAGTGGATATGAAGGAGTAAAAGCAGATTTAGTTCTATATATTTACTCACCATCAACAGAGAGATTTCCCATCTTCGACTCCAAAAAGTCAAATAAAGTGCTTGGTCCAGATGGCCTTCCTCCTCCCTCCTCAGAATCATCATTTCTGGATCGGCCTCTTCCTCTACCCCTGGCTAGCAATAACAGAGAGCATGATAACAAAATGAGTTATTTTATTTTACAGTTGATTTTACACAATAAAATAGCTTACATTTGAAAAGCTAAATTACCTGCAGCTATGCCAATAAATGCTTTTATAATAGCTCCTGTTTACACTTGTTTTACCACGGAATAGTAAAAACACACTCGCTCGTTCAGTATGATCAAACTTGTTGCCGGGGGTAGATTTTGAGACCAGAAATAAACCGAACCAATGTCTGCAGGTATTCTTCAATGTCTATCTAAAAACAGCTTATGTTGTGAGCACAGCAATTTGAGGTAAATGGTCTAAAACAAGCAAGATCGTGAACCTTTGAGCCATTTTCTGTGCATTTGAAAAGCTCTATTCTTCACTCCACCCTGCTCCCTCCTCCCTCCTCCTCATTCAGCATGAACAAGGTGCGTTTAAGGTCACGCTACATTTGTCTTGGGGTCAAAAGAAGAACAATTTGTGTGTTTTTGTGTGTCGTTGTGGTGGGGCACTGACCTCTTGGCTGGAACTTGGTAGATTCGGATGCGGTGGGGCTGGCTCTGCTCCCACACTGGCCGGTCAGGAGGCTGTTAAGTGCCACCTCCAAGTTGTTGTTATTGTCCATCAGGGCTTGCCGGGCGGCCTCCCTGTTAAAGCCCATCTCAATGATGTCTCTCAGCGCGCGCTCGTCCACCTGAGCACAAAGAGGCAAGGACAAAACAAACAAAAACATGGCCGTGAAGAAAAGACAAGGCAGACGCTTCCTGGAATAAGAAGGCTGGCTTTGAGTATTTCCTGATAATAAACAGGCACAAAGGGAATAGATTTGTGCTGTATGCCCATGTGAAAAGGCAATGGTAATGGCATTATAGCTGAACATAAAAGCAGCATTGAACTTAAGGATTCATAGGTTAAGCTTAGAAAAATATAATACAAAAGGGAGATGAAAACTTTTCTGACACCAAATACATTTTAAGAAAAGACTTACTGATTTGCAATGTAAATTTTCAAATAGTTTACAATAATGAGCAGGAAGGCCGATAGAATAAAATAAACAATTAAAAAAAATAAAATAAAAAATACATACACTTCTAATATTTGCATCTACTAAACAGCATTTTGTTCTATTAGTTTTGGCTAGAGAGTTAAAGATGCATTATGAAACGTCTAAGCTGGAGGATCTGCCCCCTGCTGGTCTCCATGACGATGTTATTTCTTTGCCTGGAATGTTCCACAGTAGGGCATTAAATATATCTCCCTTTAATTTGTTCAATTACAGATGTTTTTAACTCAAAAATACCTTAAAAAATGTGCAGGCTTCCTTCTCCATAGATCTGATAATTAACTTGTCTCCATTGTGATTACCAAGTTTATTTTCATACTGTGGAATAATCAGGGCAAAACAGGAATATCTCCACAGAGACAACCAGAAAAGTTACACAGTGCACCTTTACTGTTCAAATATTTCTAATACCAGCAGCTGAGTTCAGGCAAACAAACACTAGTGAGGATATACAGGCCTGTCCTTTGCGCTGTGGAGTAAATATGTTCCAAGACAGGCCATAACAGAAGAGAGCAGACGCTGGTGTAATGTTATGTTGTTTACAATCATTCAGGTCCCCCCATATACACTCACCAGCTCTCTGTAGTTGCCATCGGATCTTTCAGGTCTTTCTTCTCGTCTTCTCTGCTGGAAATGATTCCCGACTTCGAGAAGAGGTAGAAGTGGTGGATAAATTACTTCCTGCATTCCCACCTCCGCCAAATGTACGAGGACCCTGACAAAACAGAACCATATAGAGACAACAATGAACATATAGGTAAAACTGAAAGAAGTATGTTTTCCATCCCAAAAGTCCTGACATTTTTTTTGGAAGTGAAAATATTTAGTTTGAGGATTTTTTCTCTTGGAAAGTCAAAGCAGAATTCACATTTCCAAGCATTTGGGATAAACCTGATTTGTGATTAAACAGCAAGAATAAGAAAGCAAAATTAAAATACACACCTCTTTGGTCTTTGCCACCTCAGCAATTGCCGCCGTCCGCTGCTTTTCAAACTCGTCATTTTCGTCAGCATTTTTGGCGACAGTTTGGGACTGTAAGGTCTTCTTATTATCCAGCTCCTTACTGTCCACTTCCTCCTTACGGGCACACTTCTGCAAAAAAAAATAAAATAATAATAATAATAATACATTCAAATACACAAATATTCATGTAGAGGTGTGCAAAATCATTGATAATATTGTGAATGTTGTTATGAAAATAAGTCAAATTTGAATACTGGGTAGATCTAAAAGTCTGGAAAAATAAATACGTGATTAAAAATATAACTGCAACTTATGTTATTATCTTTCACAGTCCATTCAAGTGTGTCAGTCACCAGTTTCTCTCCACTGAGATATTCCCTGGAATGTTCCACAGTATAGCATTACACTTATTTATCTCTACTGAGGCAGCAAATGGCACCACAGTCCCAATTTACATGACAGATCTGTGGAGAGGCAAGCTTACAATAAAAACTCAATATTATTGAGTAACTGCAAGATGGATGCATTTAATGCCATACAGGGACATTCCAGACAAAGCAACAACATCTCCATGGAGACAAGCAAATGACAGACATTTCACCAGAAAAGTTACACAATCCACCTTTAAAGCTCATTAAAGACATTTTAGTACATTTCTCTTGTATATAGGAGATGTGGACATTCCAAAAACATTCAGCAGTACAGCTGCACTTAAGTAAACAAAGGTATTCAATACATCCAATCTATAATAAAATTATCTTAACTTTACAATAACCAAATCCCTATTCCATTTTTGAATTTGTCTCTTTTGTAAATGTGTTGGTCTTAAATTAAGAGCTGTGTTGAGTTTCAGACCAACAGAGGTGAGTCGGCGAGAATAGAGATGGAAATTGAACCGAGGTGGAGCGGAAGACCAGATGAGTCATGGTGTTCAGATGCGACATCAGCTGTGACCTGTGCTACCAAAACCATTCATCTTCTGTTAGTTAAACCTGCTGTCATCTCAGTATGTACACTAGAGACAGCTCAGTATTTCAGAGGAGGGTAACCTACAGATCAATTTGTAGTAGTAAAAGGAGAGAGTTATTAAACATTTATGCGGTTTATTTGTAATTAACAGACATAAAGGGAATTTTTTTTTTTCATAGTACTGTGTCTCCATGTGGAAATTACAATTACAAACTAATAATGTCATTTAACCTAACACTGGCTATGTTCTGCCAAAAGATGTGATCATATGCCAATTTCTAGAGTTATCAGATTAATGAAATGCAAATAGTTACATCTGATGTTAGTAAGCCGATTTCTTTCTGAGTGTTCACACCTGTGCAAGTTTTAGTTTTCAGTTTTGGAAAGGGGCAAACTAATGTGACAAAAACAAACTAAATTCATTGTACTTTATCTTCCAACATGTCACATTGTTTTTGTTTTGTTTTTTATCAGACTTCTTTTATGCCCATATACACATACCAATATCAATTCTAATTAAAGGATTATCTAAAGATTCTTGTTTTCTAGATTTATACATGCACCCACTGTTAAATCTGCAAGCAATAATTTGGGTAAGCAGTGTAAAAAACTTAATTTAAGACATACTCTACAATTATTATTATTTTTGGGATATCTGAATCGTACTTACATGACATTATGGGACAGAGAGCAGCCCATGTCTTATTATTAAACTTATTATGCCACATGTTCCACCAATATCTACTGAGTGTAGTCACTTATTAAGGTGACTGAATGTATTTGAAGAAATAAAAGAAATACAAAACAGCACAGGGTTGTCGCTGAACCTTTCAAAATCAGAACACAATGCAAAATCTATGCAACTACAGTATAGTTGCGTTGAAAACTGCAGTCTACGGCCTAAAAAAATGTGTTTAGTCAAATCAAAGTCTTTTTCCAAGTATATATTTCTTAATATCGTGAACAGCACTAGAACAGCATGAAACTACAGCTTAACCCCTGAAGGTAAGCTCTGGTGAGAACAACACATCTGGTACATCAGGAATAGAGTGAGGGGCATTTCAAATGTGGAAATGCTCTGCAGAGTAACAAAGTGTAAATTGTTCTCTGACAGTCAGATAACTTTGAAAAACACTGCAATTACCCTATACCATGCTGTGACTAATAACAAAGAGATGCTACTGCGGACATCCAATCATCAAAGTGCCCAAGTGACTCTGAAAAGTTTGTTCTGAGAACTTAAAAAAAAGAGTGAAACTATTCCCAAAGTAAGGCCTTTTAGATTTTAAAAAGAAAGGTATTTTTTTTTAACCACATCCCACAGAAACCTTCTTCGATTTAAGAAACTGTACAATATATAGATTTATAAAGACATCACAGACCAGAGAAAGGGAAATAATACCATGAAGGATGCTCAAGTTGGAAGCATTTTAAAAAGGCAAATTTTAGTTTTTCAAAAGGTAAAGTGGCTTAGAATATATTTCAACATTAAACAACAGTACTTTCTTTCACAGTACCACGTGGTGTTACATCCATGTAATCCCTCACTCGTCCAGGTAGGTTCCATAATGGTCCATAGGATTATACTAGTCTGTCTGGTCTTAAACTTGTTCTGATACAGCTCAAGATTATTCTAAAGCTATTCAGGAAAGGTTCTTTCTGTTATGCAATATTTTACCAAATTGCTTGAGAGTACCATGGAAACACCATCTAATAAAAACTGTAGAGACGCATTTGTACTCACACAGTTTCACTTTCCAACATCAAATGTAAAATAAAATGGTTGCTGCATTGTTGTAATTTGAGATGGGGTTAAAAATTCAAGGTTCAGTCCTGTTAGTCATTTGAAATCAGTTATTTTTAGTGATTTTTTTCTCACATATTCTCCTTGTGTTAATGTTCACAGTGGCGGTGCAGTTCAAGTTGTTTGTGTAGTTCTACAGTAGACGTACCTGACCAAAAGGCACAAAAGGAGGAGGTCCGCCTTCTGCTCCAATGTTGTTCCTGCTGTGTTTGGCCAGACTCTGTAGGATGAATGATAAAGAGAAAGGGTTTATTCTGGGTAAGGATGGCAAAGCGAGCATCACAGCATTAGCATAGCTCCGAGTGCACTTGCTTTAAGATGCAAAATTATTATTAATGTCAGGGTATTGTGTCATTTAACAAAAGCTGAGTCACCCTTAAGAGAAAATATCACGCTCACCCTTTGAAGTTCCCATTTCTCAACCATGTGATCTACCTCTCCACCAAGGACACAGATTTTAGAGTCGTCGAGGAGAAGAAGGCCATTTTTAATCTGAACTGTACCAAGGAGCTTTACTTTAGTGCCGGGGGGAGTATTGAGACTGTAAAGGAACAACATAGTATTAAAAATGTATTCTTTAACTGTATATTGAAAGACACAAGATGTAACTTTTCTGGTCCACCATCCACTTGCCTGCCTGTAGATGGTATTAGTTTGCTTTTATCTGCAGTTTCACAGTTTGGCATTTAATTTATCTACCTCCAAGAAGACAAGCTGTCAGACTGTTTTTTTCCAGCAAAAAAAAAAAAAAGAAACTTGTACTTGTACTTGAACTATATACAAGATATATAAATGTAGGGGTAGGTAGAAGATCCTCCATCAGAAAAGTTACACAGTGCAGCTTTAACAAATAAATGTATAAACATGCACGTGCCATGAAAGACCCCACACCCGACTGCTTCACCCGCACCACTTTGTAAATGACATGGAGCAGTGCCAGGGGACGGGCTGCTGAGGCTAGGAGAGACTATTAATAATCCCAGCTGCGCAGCCGCCCTCATGCTAAATTAAAAGCCCCTCTATCTCATCAGGTCTGATAAGGCCTCTGCCTCTCTCATTAGGGAAGCACAAGGACTTAGAGGGATTTCCAGCTACTGATGCCGGACGCCAAAGCAACAATTACAGATTTCACTGGGAACCCCAGGATAGATGGGCTGTTCTCCTGATACCAGACGAGGCACGAGAGAGGCACTTTTGACTCTGTATTCAATCAGAACACAGATCTAACAATGATACTATTGTTACAGCTTAATACCGACTTGTCATCAGTTCCTACCGCTGTCTCACACGCTGCAGCAATCCCCAACAGCTCTCCTAATCTATTTCATCCTTCCCTGCCTCTCACTTGTGGCCGCACGCACTCTGATTCAGCAGACAGTTTAGAAACACTAAGTACTGCTGCTGGCAAAGAGCGCGCTGCTCATAAAGAGGGCATTTGTTCTGCTTTCTCCTCTGCTCCCATCAGGAAGTCCAGGCCCACACTCGGCCATTCCACCTGTACAGTCGCCATGGCAGCAGTCGCCAAGGCCACCAGCGCTGCGAGGGAGATGCAATTAACGCTGCAAATTGTTAGATCAGCTGCTACAATGTGGAAAGTGCAGATAAACGGAAAACTGAGGCATGTGGCCAGGTTAGAAAGATGACAACAAGGTGAAGGAGACCGACTGTGCTTACTTATGAGACACTACAAATACATTTGACCTTCACTTATGTAAATATTCTAATGTTTTATTTAGAAAATGCCACCTGTTGAAAACTAAAGCCCTTATAAATAATTAACTGATCATGCAGAATAAAAAAATAAAGTGTAAATGAACAGGTAAGAGAGGGTCTTGGTTACCTTATCTTAGACAGGTGTTGAAACTCCAGCCCCACACAGGTGGTATGGCCATCTGTCATCTGGAGGCGCAGCATTCGAGGTGCACCCTGGGACTCCTCGTGGTCTTTAGGAGCGGATATATTCCTCACCTTCTGTACCTGGAGAACACATGGTCCCTCCAGCTGCAAATGGTAATAACAGACATTCGACATTTAAAGACTAGAATGATAACAAAGGTCAGGTTAAGAGATCATAGTCCATCCCTATAGCTTAATGTGAATACTAAATTGCAATAGAAATTGAGATATTGTATGTTAATGTATGCTATAGTTTGTATTTATTAATTTAAACTCAAGCATCTGGTCTGTTTTTGTAGAAGTAATACATTCTCAAGCAGCTTCAACTGTTTGCCAGAGTATCAGGGCCATCTAGTGGCATTGATGGGAACATCTATGGATATGCGTTACCATGACCGACTGGAGTAAGACGTGAAAGACAGACACTCACCTTTTCAACTTTTCCACTGTTGATGTCTGTTGGTAGAAATTTCTTCCCAATAGGCCTGAGATCACTCTATAACAAGAAATGAACAAGCTTGATGAAACAAATGATCATACAAAACACAACACAACAACTCATACTTGCTTTTAAACAATACGACAGACTAATATTACTGTGGGAAACAGAATGAGGAAAATGTATGTTGTTGTAACATTTTAGTACAACTGAAATGAATAAATTTTTATGATTGTGTCTCACATGCAGATATGCCCAGCCCTTTCATGGGCTTATAAGGCACCACAAACAGTACATATTGTTGCTATGCAGACTTACGCCTAACAATGTTTTAAATGCTGTCTTTGTTTATCTGTACAATGGAACTATTCAGTGGCAAATAGTACAAAAATCTATTTAAGCCACAAGACAAGAAAGAGCCAAACAAACCCTAAAGTTACTGCTAGCAAGAAAAGTAGAGGAAATATGAGCACACACCACCACACAGTGACATTCAGTTTGTTAAGCCCCTGTGAAGACTGCTGTTCCAATATGTTCCACCTGATCTTGTGTCCAATCCGAGTATCAAGTGACTAAAGCAAACCCAGTTTCAAATGTCAATTCTGTTTAGCAAACCATGCATCAATAATAATTGACAGGTTGTTGGTTCTGTGAGAAAGCAATAATTCACAAATGTCAAACATAGTCAGGCATACAATTGTAAATGTCATAATAAATTTGTAACTACAAAGCAATATTCAAACACAAAATGTCAGTGAGATGCAAATGTGGGTGTATTTGTAGTATTACCACTTTTAACTGAGCCACACCAAAAGCTGAACTAATTAGGTACTCTTGGTGCATGAAAAAACGTGTATGCAGCAAATCTGTTTCAGTAACATGACTATGAATGTCCCCTTTGTTCACTGAAATCATTAAAAAAGAGTGGCAAGTTAGTAATCTTTCCTCTAAGACTGCAATAATTAAATAGATTAATTATGACTAATTGACTGTGAAAAAACAGTAGATGTATTATGATAATTGTAATTGTTTTATGGATTCTACAGACTGTAAAAAATACCTTTTTGTAAAAAACACAGTGGCATTATTACATCAAAATGTCAAAAAATAATAAACGATTTTTCATTTTCATCAGTAATTATTCACATGTGTTTGTTTTTTTATTTAGGGATCTCAAGTCACCAAATCTCGACCTCTATTTGGTTGATGAATTTAAAAAGTGTCAATGTACAACAGAATTGCTTGACTAGTCAACTAATCAAAAATTTAACCCCTGACTAGTCACCCTATTTTAGTCACAAGAATAAGGTTTTGACAACATGACTTTGTGCCTTCAAGTTTTAAGTTATCATGGTCCTCCTGTGTCTGGATGGGTTTCTTATTTATAACAATAATCCTCCTGATGACCTTCACCAAGATCACGGCTAGGATCATGGTCCTGGCTTGCTTCACTACGGTGAAGACCAGATAGGAATGCATGCTTTTCTACAACTACAAAGATGCACAGTCTGGAACCTGGTCTTCTGACCTGGAGTTCCACTGGGCATGACTGACAATCAGAGAAGTGCCCGTTCATGTCAAAACAATAAAATAATTTTGATGCATGGTATATTGATGAAGTAAATATACACAATAAATGATAATAATGAAAGAAATGTATGCCACAATAACAGATTTAAACCACAAAAACTATTCTAAATCTACAACACTGTTAAAAAATCATTAGCTGCAGTAAATAAATAGCCAAATGAAACACTTAAGTACTTAGTCTGCATCTGTAACAGGACATAAAAAGTAATTTATTCAACCTTTCAGGGATTAAATGTAATCATAACCCAAAAATAACCACTAATTTCCCAGTAGTGCAAAGAAAAAGTGAAGACAATAAATACAGACTACTCATAAGTTAACATAACATGTCACGATAATTATTATATGAATTTAAAAAAGTGTTTTACACAATATAAATCTCTGTACTTCTTTATTCTGTCCTGCTACTTATGATCATTCACTGGGATAACTGTACAAATTAAGGAGGAGTGTAAACTAATTTAGACATCCTTGACCAGGTAACCAACTCAACAGATTTTGAGATGACAATACTGCCGCAATAAGTGTTACAGAAAGAACAAATGAAAGAACAAACTTACATCCAGTGCAATGCGTATGATGTCACTGGCTGTTACTTTTTCTGCAGCACCTTTGAGCTCTGATATGCCTTCATCACTGAGGTACCTGCAGGGCAAAAGCAAAGATATAAGGCAAACCGCAGAGAGCAAGACCATAATGATAAGCAGAACAGGTGTCAGCTGTTCATTTTGTGTTTAATCATTTACAAAGTAATATATTCCATTAAGACATAATCAAACCATGCATGAGTACAGTTCATCACACGTTCACCAAGACAAGGCACATTTGTTTACAAACACTTCTCTACTATGTCATTTGGAGCAACATTGTGGCGAAAGGGAGGAGAGAACAATACATGAGCAAAGAAAATAAACTAACTTCAGCACAAATCAAACGTGAAGCCATAACAATAAGAAGCCAACAGAGACATTGCGGGTTATTGTGGATTTACAGATAAACGAAAGCTAACTGCATCATTCGCTGGTTAGATTAGCTCAGGCTGTGATTAATTTGTTATTGGCATATTTGTTTGAGCGCAGTTTCCCCTTTATTCACCAACACGCTAAAACAAGGCGGTCAGGATGTATTTGTAGCCTATAAAAACTACAGCGTGAAAACAATGTTGTTGTCCTCTATCAATCAAACAAGCATCATAGCATCCTAGTGAGTTAGCATGCTAGGATTATGCTAGCCACACTGGCACCTACCAGCCCTCGTTTTTCAGTAAATCTGATAATTCCGTCATCTTCGTCCGAGCCGGAGAAAACCGGAGGTTGGTAAAACGAATACTTCAGTAATAACACAATTGATGAGACTATCTAAGTCTGAAAACCATGTTATTCGACCTATAAAAGAAAAGAAGGCTGCTAAACATGGACCGTCCCAGCGTCAACTACGTCATTGGCCAAGACGCATTGTACGAGTGCCGAAAGGGAAAAAATGCTTTATACGACGCGATCATGTGTGCTTTTCATTGTTAAAACTTTCGTAACTACAATTGTACTTACTAAATGCATTTTTTCTAACATGCGATATATGACTACACACTGCTTTTTGCACAACACAAAAGTCCTATGGAAATGCAGTTATGAATGCCACCACACGATGGCAGCAAATACATTATTATTTATGCATGTACATAGAACTAAATAATTCCAATAACACCAGTCACGAAATGGAAAGGGTGTAAACACAACTCACCGAAAAGGGCCAAAAGATAACGCACCTAGAATGACTAATAACGCCGCAAAAACTTGACTGCGGCAAACAATGTTGGGTAGCCAAACTTGCCAGTTATGACTTTGATATTAAGTATATCCCGGGTCAACAGTATGTTGTAGCTGATGCTTTGAGTCGTGTCTCATTTGTCAAAGATCTTGTGGGCCAAAGGTTGTTTGCTGAGCCATATCATAGACTCCTCAGTCAAGTCAGAGATATGTCAAATGCTTCTGTCATGTCAGCTTTTCGTTCTTCCAGGGGCTGTGATCTTGTTCTGTCAGGTGCTCAGCAGTGTGTGCGCCCCCTCCAAATGCAGTCTGATGAAGTGTCTGCTGTCTTGCAGTTACATGTTTGTTGGGACACAAGCCCTAGAGCTCATGCTGTTACTGCCCTGCAGTTGTTACCTCAACTTGTAACTTCTGGCCTTGACACCCTGCCTGCTTACACAACAACTGAACTGTACAAGAACAAGAACTGCGTGACAACTCAAGGATAAAACCATTTACCATGTGTTGTTCTATGTTGAGAGAAGTTGGAGACCATCGAGGAGAAACAGCAAAAGAGCCTGTCACTGTGCTGAAATACCTCAAACACTAGGAAAGACTCTCTGTTAGCGCTGATGTCCTGTACAGAGTCATGAAAGATCTCAAAACAAAGTCTAAACGTCATGAATATGTAACCTTTGATTTATTTTGATGCATATTATTTTATTTATTAATATAAATTTGTGTGATTATTATTTTATATATTGTTTGGATAATTAATTAATATTATTTAGCATTTATTTTATTAACAGTTCATTGTTGCATTGTGTTGGGTTCTGTTATGTTGTTTAGTTGTTTCAGTGGAGCGTGTTTGGGCAGCGCACCGGGGTGGATAGAAGAGAACGTGCACTGCGCGCAGAAGAATAGAGAGAAGTGTTGCTCAATAAAGCATATTGGACACTGTCCTGCCGTGTTGGTTTTTTGTAGCAAGGAAACCTGCAAGAACTTACAATTATAACATCTCAGTGTAACCCGACACACCCACAGCCTTAAAGGTTGTATGGAGGATTTTTTTTTGTTTCAAATTGTCAATGATAGCATTATAGAGGTGCAGTAGCCTTGTAATTATGATGACCAAAAAAAAGAGAATAAAAATTCATCAACTCTGGACGTGGTGGGGCCAGCTAAACATTTGCCAATAGATAACGACACTGCCTCGTTATCTGTTAGTTGACAGGCTGTCAATCAATCTCCCTACGTTTCTAGCGTAACTGACTTGCCTGCGTGCCGCCGGTACGTGGTTTGCGTACGCCTGTCACGCAGTCCACAGACGCAAGCCGCACAGACGCTGTTTACTCCACCAACGCAACAGTTCTTAGCGGCTTTTTTTTACCTATATCTTCCTCGCAGTTAGCACAAAGTTTGTTGCAATGGCAGACAAGAATCCAGGAGCAGTTAGCCGCAAAAGAAAGTCCGTTTTTGAGGTCGCTGAAAGAAGAAGACAAGGGGAAAAGCAGCGAAGCCAAACTAGGGTGATTCTTGAAGATTCATTCCAGCGATGGCGCAACTGAAGCAGACGCAGGGTCTAAAGACTGACGCATTGGTCGCCAAATTACTCCTGGACAGGTCACTTCTGCTTATTATGCTCCTCACTTCTCCGCCTTGCCTAACCAACACTGTAGTTAGTTGTTTACAAGTCATGTGCCGCGCACTGGCTGTAAACAAACCTGTTTCTGGCGTAAAGAGGAGGCGGGAGGAGGCGTTTCTACGTAGGGAGCTGTAGGGGAGGGGGGGTGGTTTCACGCATGCGCAACATTTGAAAAAGGACAAACAGTCGCTGGATTTCTCGTTCCTTGGAAAATCCTCTATACAACCTTTAAGAGACTGGTAACAACAACATTTTAGGGTTACAGACTGGTGGCAGCGGTGTTTTTCTTGCTAGTTTTCGTATATGCTACTTAGCCAAGGCAGTCAGCTAGCTTCGGCGGTGGATAACTTGTCCGGGAAATACAAGATTGCTGTCTACGGATACTTTTGTGCAGACCCAGAGTTTCCACCTGTTCGTTTTAGCTGGACGGTGCTTTCAGTATGTCGCAGGTACATCAGCAGCAACAGCAGCCAGACGACGGCGCTGAGGACAACAACGCACGTGCTAACGGCGATGCCGGTGCGGGCGGCGCAGCTCCGCTACCGCTGGACATGCTAAAGACTGTAGTTCATTATCGAGTAGAATTGCCGCCATGTTTTCACGGCGATGGTAAGGACAAAGAAAGTTTTGCTCTGTGGAAAACCAGATTGGAGCTCGCAGTTAAAGCCTGCGCGGATGGACAGCAGCTAGATATAGCCACTATACTCCCCACTCGCCTTAGTGGAGATGCTTTAGCATACTGGCTGTCTTTGCCACCAGCAGTGCAACAGGACTATGACCAATGTGCAGCTAAGCTCAATGATGTTTTTGGCAGGAAAGAATTTTTGCTTCATTTTCAAACTTTTGTCAATGCGAGACAGCGCTTGCCTAAAGAACCATTAGAAGTTTATGCTGCTGAAATCACAAGGTTGGTGCTGGAAGCTTTTCCGAACTATGGAGAGCTAGCCATTGCCATGGAACGCTTCAGAAGATTTGTTGCCGGATTGGACCCCATTCTTCAATCAAAATGTCATGAGCATGGTGCAGCTACGTTGGAAGACGCATTGGCAGTTGCATGTAAATGGGAGCGTGCACAAGAGGCTTTAAGACTACTTCCTCCTCCACTTCCACCGACTAATACATCATATACAACAGCGCCTGTGTCCAGGGATGAGCCACTTTCTGCCATGGTCTCTACCAAACATGAGAAGAACCAGGCGGATCGCACTGATGAACTGCTTGATGCCATTAAGCAACTTTCCAGAGATGTTCGGTCTCTGAAGTTACATGCTGCTGCACAAGGACATGATGTGAGCAATGCCAGACAAAGTCGTGCTCCCCACAGCAATTTTTCCAAATGCGGATATCACCATTCTGACTCCAGAGGCGACCGCGGCAGAGAAAGGTATCGACGCACCCCATCTGTGTCTCCTGTCCGAGAGGCCCGCTCTTCTACACCTACCTATCACCAGTCCAGCAAGTCCCACAGAGACTACAGCTTCTCCAGGCGTTCACCAGATCGGCTGTCACCAGACCATCATGATCGCCACTACCCACCAGACCACCGCGACCGTCGGCATTCTGCAGGACCTTCTCCTCCTCCTCCTCCTCACCGGGATCATCACTCCAGCTACGAGAGGCACTCCAGACCCCGCAGCCCAGAGAGATGGCGTTTTTCTCATTACCATGGTGACAGGTCCTCCCCTTACCATGACTATGACCGTGACTCTACTTTTGATACAGGTAGCCCCAGATCCCCCTCAGCACACTCAGGCAGGGATAGGCAAAGACAATTTGATAGTGACCATCATGTGACCTTTAGTGAAGACCACTACAGTCAGGGAAAAGAGTGGCAGTAGACACTGAGGGCCAAGTGTCTGCTTCTAGTGCTGAGGCCCACTTCAGTTCAATACAACAAACCAGACATAAGACATTCACCGGTAATGTACTGGCCATTATTGAGAATGTTGCTACTAAAGTATACATAGATTCTGGTTCAGACATCTCACTGATTAGTGAAGCGTTTAGAATATCCATTCCCTCTCTGAGAACAAAAACTTTACAGCGACCTCAAGTTGTCCCTAAAGCTGAGACTGGTGACTACCTAGACAATCTCGGCACTCTTTCAATGAACATGAGGTTAGGCAGTGAAATGTTCACACACACTGTCCAGGTAGTCAGGAATGTTACACAGCCTGTCATATTGGGCTGGGACTTTCTCTTTGCACACTTTGCTGTTTTAGATTTGAAAGAAGGCATCTTCAAAGTAGGTACTTGTGCCAGGGTTCCACTTTTGTCTGCTACAGAGACAGCCCCTTTGAGTTGTAACACCATTACCGTGACACCACTCCTGGTGCCTGCAATGTCACAAATGACTGTTCTAGCTAAGGTCCAACCCACCATTGGTGTGCCTGATTTAGACACTGACTATATAGGTGTTATTGAGCCAGGACCACCCAGTTCCCAAGGATTACTCTCCGCACGCACTGTTGCTCCAGTCCAGGCGGGAATGACTTATGTTAGAGTCATGAATCCAACTACCTCTGACTTACAGATACCCAGTGACACTAAACTAGGTGATTTTTATCCCTTAGGCCAAGACAATGACTACTGCATAGTTGAAACAAATGTAGATGCAGTTACTACTCAGATGGAGTCCACTACACAGTTACTGCCAGATGTTAATTTAAATGACTCTGCTTTGACCCCTGACCAGAAACAAAAGCTCCAGGCTTTGCTCTCATCGTACTGTGACGTATTTAGTACACATGATCAGGACTATGGCCGCACTGACTTGGTTAAACACAGCATCAGGACTGGGGACACCCCTCCAATTAAGCAGCGGGCATACCGGGCCTCCCCAAACATCCGAGCAGAGATAGACAGACAGGTCCAGCAGCTCCTTGAACAGGACATCATTGAGGAGAGCTACAGCCCCTGGTCCTCTCCAGTTGTTTTGGACGGTACCTATAGATTTTGTATAGATTACCGTAAGCTTAATGCAGCCACCATCAAAGACTCTTACCCCCTGCCACGCCCAGCGGAGGCGCTTGACAGCTTATCAGGCTCCTGCT